ACTATGTGCCATAGCGTGTATTTCTGGATAAGGAACATCAGTTTCCATTCTAGCAAATATTATGATCTCTGACTTCAGTTTTTAAAATACAAAAAATGGCTAGGCACTTTATGCTAGACTTTGGTGGTATGGTATTAGATCAGCTAAGGCAAAGCAATTCGTTTCAGTACAACAGGTGGCTATATTCAGACAAACCAGAGACCTTCTTCTGAATATGGCTGACTCCCCCTGAAGAACAGGGAAAACACAAGAGGATCAGACTGCTGCACCACACATCTAAATCAACCATTAAGCCAAAGCATTCCTCCTGTTCCAAACCCATCCTGTCTCCAAGCTCTGCCACGCTTCATTTTCTCACTCTAAATATCATCTTTATCCAAACATCAGTCCTTCTAAATGGAAAGGAACAGAGGAAGACTTCTGCATAATTTTTATAATTTTAAAATATGTTGTGCAGTTTTAGTGATTGCTAGATAGTTATTACAAAGAAACATCAGTAAAGACTTTTTTAAAAGTTGTTTTAGAGCTAGCAATCTGTTTAAAAAAAACTAAAAGAATGTTTTTGACACAGTTGGCACCACCTGTTTAATAATAAAAGGAAAAAAATGACTGTAGTTAGCATAAGCATTGCTTAACTCAGCAGATCAGCAAATAAAAAAAAAATTCCTTCAATTTCTATTTCAATAAAATATGACCTATCTGGATTTTGCCAGAGAGAAATAGACTGTGTCATGGTAATGTGGAACTACATTTGATAACATTCTTTAGCACATATTTCATTATTTCTCAGCATCTCATAGGTACTCAAAAAATACTTAGCCACAAACCACATTTAATTCCCAAAACTCTGTGGTGAAAGCCAAGTAAACACATTACGAACTGGGCATCTGCTTACCCGAGACCAACACATGGCATTTACAATTTTGCCAGTTCTGTTAGTAACATACCCAAACAGATGCCAAAGGAAGTATTCCAAAGACTTTTCAGGCAATGAGAATGAATTGGCCTTATTCAGAAGCTAAGCATTAAAATCACCTCATGGATGACACCAACATAAAAACATGGTGCTAAGCTTTACAATGCATAGGAGAGGTAAAAAGAAATGTTAAGGCAATAATACAGATGCTCAGAACTAGAAATAAGAACCCTTATACACATTGTCAGCTGTTATCAGCTTCTCTTGCCTTTGCATATGCCTCGTGCATAATACACGCTTCCAGTGACAAAACAGCTGGGTGCCACCAGTCCCTCTTCTCTCAGCAACCTAAATAGTGAACTCACTGGAAACCAACACATCCTGTAGGGGCTGTTTGATCTATCAGATGATTTTGGTTTTGTTATTATAACCACCAAAACGCAACCATTGATCAAGCGAGATCACTTTCCCAAACACACGCTCGCAGTGTATTCTGCGATGTCAGGCAAGATTCAGTAAGGGTAACAAAAGCCTAGAATATCTGGGAAAACAGTAAAGTCTGGATAATATGGATAGTATAGATGTGCTTGAGGAATATAGTGCAGACACATCCATGTTGATCTGCAATCTCCCAAGGTCCAAAATCATAATGTTGGCACTGCACTGAAATAAGCCTTGTGTAACTCACCATGCTGGAGATTGCAGTTCAGTGTATTTCACACACAACCTTTTACGTCCATCAGGTCCAGCACTACATCTGAGGTAACATGCCTAAGTGGACTTGTGGTGACACCATCCTGCTCAGGATGCCAAGTCCAAGAAAATCTTCTTTGTTCAAGCTCAACACTGCAGGAATGTTTCTGGACTCCAGCTACTCCTGAAAACAGCTTACATGCCACAGCCCCTAAGCTAATCATCCATACCAACTAACAGATGAGCTAATAAGGCTGGCTAGAGATGACTACACATCGATGGCCTGACCCACTAACCAGATAAGGCCCTTGGGGAGGGTGTGGCGGGGGGGGAGATCACTAGACTGTAAGCAACGTTTTATTTTAATCTTTCCAATTTCACGCTTGATCAGATTAGCCATGGCTAACAGTTCCTGTAGCCTTTTGTTCCTAGCCCTAAGAATATCAAAGTGCTCCTAAAATAGTGCAACTATAGGGAATTCATATATTGCACCAACATAGTAAACATTCCACAAATTCAATAAATCATACCAATAAGTAGATACTGGAAGTCTGTATTAATGCACTCAGGACTGTGAGGAATGTCATCACCTGGATGTAACTATGAAGGCAGAAAATAATTTTGTAAAACAGCTCCAGTGCAAAACTTAACTGACTATGCTGACCCTTGGCATCAACTACTGATGTTGTCTGCTCCAAACCTCTAACTGAATGCCTATCAAAGCAAACAAACAAACAAAAAAAATACTGAACTTTGTTCTAAGTCCAGACACTGCCCACTGCTCTGACCCTACAGACACGAAGGATTAATGAAAACGGCTATCCATCAAAAGGAGACTAAAGTCTGTCTGGAAGTAATGGCATATTTTCAGAAAGAGTAGGGTTTAATTTTACTGCCAGTGGGGCACATTCAAGTAGGTGGGAGAAGCCTTGGAGGTCAGGCTTTATTAAGGTGTGAACAAAGATTAGCCTCCACATCATCCCCGCTACATTCCAACAACCCGTTTTTCTTGTTTTCCTTTGAGATTGCTAGCACACAAAAACTAACTCATTCTCTCCACCATAATTTAAATTTTTTTTTTGGACATATTTTCCATTTGAAAGAATCCTATTCAAAATGTCAAGAGAATTTACAGACTAGCAATGCAACATGGAAGAGAAGATACCTAGAAAAAGGGAGGGAGAAAACATTTGAATTCATGAGTATTTGACAACTGAATAAGTCACGTCACTGAATTTTGCACCAAGCATAATTTCAAATATCTCTTTTCATTTCACTGTACTTTTTAAAGAAAAGCCTGATAATGCATCAAAACAGCTTAAAATAAAAAAGTAAAAAAAAAAAAGACAGACTTAATTTTAGTTCTAGAGGAACTTATAATGAAAAACAGCAGTGGAGACATTTTATTGTGGTACTTCTGTCAATGATTCCATAATAACTTAGGAAAAGAAGTACTCTTTATAAATACAAAATAGACCAAGAAACTGTGAAAAAAAATATAATACACATTCAAACTTTACCCTTTGACTCCTAGTAATAACGTTCTGTCTTCTGTGCAGATGCTGCTTATATGGGTTCACAGTAAGTCAAGTACATTTGACCTAGCAAGCTCAACAGGACTGTAAGTGAATCTCAAAGACAGGAATGCAGGACGTATGATGCTGCAGCCCTGACTGATAACTAAGAAGTCAGTTATAAATAAATCTGGAACAGTTGGGATTGACTGTTGTTTAGCACTTTCAGACAGACGTTCAGGGCAACTGGCAGAGGCTTTGAAAGCTGTTTCCCGTATTAGAATCATGATAAAAATAGAAGTGAGGCTGCATTCCCTTGTCTTCTGCTAAAATAGATCTTACTCAAAAACATTTTTACAAGTTTGGCAAGGCATAACTAGTCCACTGTCAGATACAGAACAAAATCATAATTAGAAGTCCTATGTTGTTCTATCACGAATAGTTACTTATTGAATTAATAATAACAAAAAAAAAGAAGAAAAAAAAGGGGGGAGTACTAGGAGATATTAGAGACAAGGAGAAGATGGTTTTACTACATTTTTTCTTGTAAGTGAAGGTACAGTCAGAATTCACTAGCCAGAAAGACCCTAAAGACCTTTAAAAATAAAATAAAAAGGGAAAATCATATATTTTATCCACTGTCCTTAGGAATATATAGAGGGGTTTTGTTTGAGGTTTGGGGTGTTTTGTTGCTGGTTTTGGTTCCTTTTGTTTGTTTTGTTTTTAAATTCAAGAACAGATGTTGCATAATGTTGCAAGGCTGAGTTGTGAGAATGGAACAGGAAAGAGGGAGCATGTATGGGTTTTTGTTCTGTTTTTAAGTGCCCCAAATACTGTTTACAGGGCAAGCATTTGTCACAGACTTATCTCGCCTCCAGCACTTAAGCTTCCAGATAAATTAAGCTGGCTTTTATTTGTGTGTTATTTACAGTCAAAATATAGCTATCAAAATATTGTAGGATTAGCTAGTTCACTGACTGAACAGCCCATTGTTCTGCCAAAATAATCGGTGGCCTTAATGAGCAATTAAGCACTTTCAGGGTCAGTGAGAACAGGAAATCTTAACATATAGATCAGAAATTCTGTGTATAACTTCATGCTACTGTTTCAGATCATGAGTGAACTCCCAAACTATATGCAAGAGTCAGGCATGACTGAGAACAGAATGTTTATACTATAATACAAAATGAGGAGAGACCAGGATACAGTAAGAGCAACTTGATTTAGTCAAGTAACTCTCCCAGACAGGTTTCCCATAAACTGTTCTTTCTCAACCAAAACAGGTCTGCACAGTGTTTTGCTGACAGATATGAAATTGCCCCACCTGCACACACTCTAAACCAAATCAGCTCCAATCTAGAAACTCTGTGACTGTGCTGCATGATGCCAGCCTGCCCTCCCTCAGCAGAGCTTGTTGCTGCAGTTCAGCACCCAGTGAGCCCTGATGCAGACCTTGTGGTTCTGAGCAGGATCACAGCTTCTTGGGTCAGAACACACACAAAGTGGACTCATGCTTCTCTATAAAAGTGTACCCAAATCCACCAGTGACTTCCAGCTATTATTCCTATAGTTCCTACAATATATAAACTGCAACAGAATCAGCACTAGGAAAATCTGCAACTTGCCTTCTGAAGTAAGCCTAGTATAAATTAAGGCATGACTCGAGGACTCCAGGCTCGCTGAAGAAGTACACGTACGGGACCACATTTCAGTCACTGAACTGTGTTTTTTCCATCATGACAACTACTGAAAGTATGCTTGTTGAAAGAGAGAAAATTCGTCATAAAGAGTTGAATTTTTTTAAATGGATTGTCAGATTGCAGATGTAGTTTCCTTTTACTCGAACAGCCTGCATAAATGTATTTTAAACTAATTACCTTTAGGTGGAAAATACGACTTGCTTTCAGCTTTGTGAGGCCAGTCCACCACAAGAGGTCCAAACCTACGAAAGCTGGCAGTGATCTCATCTACAAAAAACAAATGAGGCACCTTAGAGAGAATCTGAAAGACTGACAGTGGCAAGGTAAAAATTCTTACTTAAAAAACCTCCCAGACTACTTTCTACACCTATTAAGAACAGTGAAAACTACAATAATGGACATAGAGGATGCCTAAATGTTCTTTCACCTCTATGCTATACATGGCTGCTTAAAAAAGTAATTTTACATTCCAGTAAAGCAAGTTTGCAGCAGGATTAAATGCAAACATGATCTATCAGAAGTGAATATGCTTCAGCTGCAGTCTAATTATAGCCACAAAGCAGGGTCAGATGCAGCCACATGGGACTGACGGCGAAGCTACATGTCTGCATGGCCACTCCTTGTAGCATGCCCTAGAATGCAGGCTGCATCAGGTCGTGTGACTGGGGGGATTTCACCTTCCTCAGTCCCCTCTGGAAACATGCCTTGAATTACCAAGTTATTTCTTTGCTTTTTAAGCATCAATTTAGAAACACCGTGGAACACACATCTCAAACTACCCTGTAGAACAATTTTGGTTTACATGCAAATGCTTCAGAAAAAAGTATTTTAAGTTATTTTTAAGAAATCTTTTTTTCCTCAATGCGTTTATTTATGTACTTTAAAGAAAGAATTAGTTCAAAATCGTGTCTAATGTGATGCTAGATAGATCAGAGCAACTATCCATCAGGAGAAAAGTTTGAAGACAAAGGCAGTGGTTTTCCAGTTTTTTGATGCTGCTTGAGATGTGTCCAGTTTATCTGACCCCATGAGCTTCATGTCAGATTTTTCAAGCAACTAAAGCCACAAAACACATATTGCATAACTCAGGAGCTGAAGGAAGAAGATGTTACTGGAGTAGGCCTCTCATGGAAGAGGGTAGCAGCTCCCAAGTGGACATGTTACTTCCTTGCAGGATAGGCTGAGCATATATTTTAATTCTGAGTAACCCAGCAACGTTCACATCAGTTGTACCAGGTGGCCTGCTGCTTCTTACAGCTGGGGATTCAGATTACCCAGCCGTCCCTGTATCAACAGCCCTGCAACTCATGATGTGACATGGGAACTGCATTTGAGCTGTTTGTAAACCATAGATGGACAACCCATACTATTTCTTCATTAAAATTGCATGTGGTTTAGGCTTCAGTTTAGTAGATCAGATTCGGAGATCCCTCTCTTCATTATAAGGCATCCTCAGATTCCCTGTGTATGCCAACTGAAGCTAGATAGTGGTGGATTCCAGCTATAATATGAAAAATACACCAAAAACTGTCATGATTTTGATTTAGGAGTCAGGGTGTGTGGGGGCATAGACAAGTAGAGCAGATATTGAGATTGAAAAAAATCCTGACTGTCCCTACTAAGCTGGTTATTATTTTGTAACCATATTAATAGCCCTATATTTGTCAACTAAACACTGCATATATGCAGGATATAAGAGCTGATTAATTAAAGCCCAATTTATTTTGGTAAGGACTGTATTAACTAAGTCCTTAAAGTCAACCACATCTTTTAAAAAGAACAGGGAAAGACTATAGAGGAGTGACAGTATCCACTAAGTTCCCTTTTTCAGCTTTCCCACATGTGGGAACGCATGCTGCTATTGCAGATTAGAAGACCTGCTACGCAGGCATTTCTGTCTCGATTTCTTCTACCTACAGTACAAAAGAATGTCAAGTAAATTCTCAGGTGTTGCAGGGGGTGGTGGTGTTTGTTTTAAATAATGCCACAAGACACTACAAGTGACATACCTGGGAAAATACATTTGTTTTTATGAAAATCTGACCTTTTTAAAGTAATCATATGAACGCCAATTCCCACATCTCACCAATGTAACTTATTCACAGTACCTTCATCAATGTCAGGAGGAAGACCTCCAACAAACACCTTTCTAGAATAGCGTTCCACTCTTTCACCATTCTGACAGCGTGTTGGAGAGCTGAGACCCGATGATAAAGACTGATCACCATGACTGTCGTCTAGGAAGCCATCTTCAAA